TTAATTAAGGTTGTTAGATTAGATTGTAGGGTCAAGATTTAAGCTGAAAAAGAACAATTCATGTGCTTCCTACGTGGCGCATGCAGATTGACTGAATTTAAAAGACTTGGATTGCCAAGTTTTGCTCAAATTAAATCTATTAAAATTATAATCTCTTCTTTATTAAATAACCATAATTATTAAATTAAAAATAATTAATTTGCAAGACTAGCTTATTTGATAAATTTAGTCATTCCAAAAATAAAATTAATATAAATTAGTAACCCATTAATTAATTAAGCTTTCGTAATTTTAAAAAATGTCGAAAAATGTTTATTGTAACGATAGAAATTATATAAAAATTGAGTTAACCCTTAAGAACAATATTTATTTCACGTAAAATTTAAAACAAAATGAGAAACTAAGTAGTAATATCTATATAATACATTTAATTTTTATAAATAATAATATTTATGAAATAAATTTATCAAATAAAATAAATAATTAAAATCTTCTTGTATTCCTACACAAATTTCATAATATATATATATATATATATATATATATTTACTTATTTATTATTATTATTATTACTATTATTGTTATTATTAATATTATTAATAAAACTTTAGTTAAATAAATGTGGAGAGTCAAATTTGGGCTTCAACAACGCAAATTGGGAAAGTTATTGCTTATGCTTCACAACAACTTAAGATTAATAAAAAGACCTATCCTACACATGATTTGGAACTAGTAGCAGTTATGTGTTCAAGCAGAAAGATCTAAATCTTTGCTAAAAGAGGTGGCTTGAGTTACTAAAGGATTATGACATGAGTGGTCTCTAGTACCCCGATAAAGAAAATGTAGTGACAGATGCTCTTAATTAGTTATCATTGAGTAGTGTTCCTCATACTGAGGATAGTAAGACGAAATTGGTTAGAGATGTTCATAGATTGGCCCGATTGGATGTTCGGTTGGTTGACTCTATCAAAGGCGGTGTTATAGTACATAATGGTTCAAAATCATCTTTTGTGTCAGAAGTGAAATCCAAGAAAGGTCTCGATCAAATATTTGTTGAATCGAAGGAAGTGGTGCTTAAGAAATACATTGAGGCTTTCTCCCAAGAGGGAGATGGTGCACTTCGATATCAAGGTCGTTTGTGTGTTCCTAATGTTGACGATTTGAAGGAGCAAATCCTATCAGACGCCCATAGTTCTTGATTTTCCATTCACCTTGGAGCCATGATGATGTACCGTGACTTGCGGGAGGTCTATTGGTGGAATGCGATGTTGAAATATATTGTGGAATTTGTGGCCAAATGTCCTCATTATCAAGAAGTGAGAGTTGAACATCAGAATTTGGGAGGTTTATCCCAATATATTAGTATTCCTACTTGGGAGATAGAAGATTTGAATATGGACTATATTGTTGGGTTACCCCGCACCCAGCGTCAATATGACTCGATTTGGGTTATTGTGGATCGAATGACCAAATCAGCTCATTTTCATTCCAGTCAAGATTTCTTATTTGGTGGAGGACTATGTGAAGTTGTACTTAAGGGAAATGTTTAGGTTGCATGTAGTGACCTTATCCATTATCTCTGATCGCGGTACCCAATTTACCTTTCAATTTTGGAAATCTTTTCTAAATGGTCTTGGTACTCGTGTTAAGCTTAGTACGACATTTCATCAGCAAACCGATAGGCAAGTGGAGTGTAATAACCATACTTTGGAAGATATATTGAGAGATTGTGTAATTGACTTCAAGGGCAATTGGGATGATCATTTGCCGTTGATTGAGTTTGCGTATAATAATGTAACACCTCAAAAATTTGAACTAGAATTGATTAAGGGAGAAGGGCAAACCACAGAGGGGTCCACGGGCCGTGAAGAGGACCATGACCCGTCACCCTACTCGTGGTGTTGCATGCAACCTCTGTAGATGACCACAGATGCCTAGACGGTCTATGGAGCATCATATAGACCGTGAGGTGGTCCGTGAAAAGAGGCACATAACCCCCCTAAGCTACTATGAAGAACCACAATTACCTAAAGGGTATGTGGAGCTTCACACGAAACGTGAAGTCGTTTATGAAAGGGGCTGATCAGGTTTTGGAGTTTTGGGTCAACTTCAGGAGATCATATGATTTAGCACAAAATGAATTAGCGCATCGTGAAGGACCATTAGAGTCTTCCTGGGAAGGAGAGGTTTCCTAGAAGGCACCTTAGACGTCATGTGGTGACTTGGACGACCCATCTAGGGGTCCATACAAGTCACCTATCAGTTTTAAAAATTTGTGTCATTGTCAAATGATCAAATGTCTCAAGACAAAAATGAATTAGGTGGTTGATGATCTATCAAATTAAGGGTCTTTGGGTCCTCTTTCCAATGCCACCAAGTTTGCCTAATTTCGAACTCGGAGTAAAAAGTTATGCCCATTTTTATTGAAGCACTGCAAACAGGTGAAGCTTCACGAACGACTATACGGCCCGTGATGCCTTAGACAACTCGTGAAGCCCCTCTTCTAAGTCACCTCGTAAGTTTTTAAGTTAGGATCATATTGGTCTTTTCCCAAAGTGTTTGGTCCCTAAAATTCATCGTTTGAAATCCTATTTCAAAGCCTATATAAGTGAATTAAGCCAAAAAAACTACCAAATTCAATTCATTCTTTTAAATTCCCTAAACTTGACAAAATTCATCCTCTCCAAAAATATCTTCTCTCTGGATCAAGGAATAAGAAGAAGCTAGGGTTCTCAAGTTCAAGTCTCCTTTCTTCATCATTGCTTAGGGCTTCAATCAAGGTATGTGGGGAGTTCATCAATGGGTTCAATTCACCCATTGAGCCCCCAAAGTTTCTTCAATTCTCCAATTTAATTTCCCAAGTTTTGATTAGATTTTCACTCAATTCCTCAATGGTTCTATTGTATGGATTGAATTGCCTTATTATGATCTTATTTTGATGACTTGGATTTAATTACATGCTTTTCAACTAATTCCATGTGAACCATGCATTCATCTATGAATTTCGACTATGAACCCTAATTTACATGAATTGATGAAGAAGCTTAAATCCATGAATATGTTTTATGAAATTATGCATATTTTTATGAAAGCAATGTTTATGACTCAAGTAAGCTTATAGATGAAGGTATCTATATGTTCTATGAATCTTGGCCACATGACATGAATGACATCTAGATTTGCCTTCAATGCTTTTTGGGCTATCTTCCTAAATACGATCTTGATTAGTATGGTATCTGGATTTGTCATCAATGATCATAAATCACAATTTCAAAACTATTTCTATTAGTATTAGGGAATCTCTAGCTTGAAGTGAATGACTATGGGCCTTGAAAGCTATTATGAAAATATCATGGATGGTGAAAGGTTTTCTCACGCATGATCTAAGAAGTTATCATATGATAAGGCAAGTGGCGAATATCCATGTCCCATAATGATAAGAAAAGAGGTGGATACGCATGTCCCATAATGATAAGAGAAGTTAAGAGTAATGAATATTCTGTGGGATTTATGCCTAACACCAAGAGGATATGAGATGGAAGCTCCCCCTTAGCTTGAGGCGGGGTTTCTAGTAGCAACCTCCTTATCACATACCTATGTGCCTCCACATGATGATTGTGTTAGATAGACATTAGATAGTAGATCCACGTAAGCTAGAAGTTTATGGTCCTCAACTTGTCAAGTAGGATACCCCTTTTCGGTGTGGGGCAGACACCAAATTCCATGTTATAACTCGCATGGTATATATGTCGGTTAATGGTAAGCTTCCCACAAAAAGAACTAAGTTGATTTCTAATGTTTTATGAAACTTCCTTTATGATGTAAAGATGTATTGGCCATTTTCATGTTTTATGAATCTTCTTAATGATTTTACTATGTTTGAACGTGGTCATGCATTCCATGTTTTCGATTATGTCCCTTTATGATCATGTCTCATGTTTTATTGCATTTCCCTCATACTTAGTACATTGCATGTACTTACACATTATTTTGCCTACATTGTTTCACTAATGCATGGTCTGACGTTTCCACTCTACATCTCTGTGGCTAGTGATCACTTCAGTAGATTTGAAGATTGGTTAGTCCTCATTTTGTGAGAACCGAACCCTTTATTGCTTATTGTCTTTACTTTTTCAAATTGTATGTGATGCATGGGTTATGTCCCAATCACTCTTGATGTACTAGATGACTTTGTGACTATGTTAGACTTCCACTACATATTATCAAACTCTTTATGATATAAAAATGTCTTTTGAACTCTTTAATTCTAATATCTTATATGGTTTATGCTAAGTGGCTTCTGTAGGGCCTCTCGAGGTCCTATATGCCATGTCACGTCTAGGATATACTTTGGGTCGTGAAAAACTTAGTATTCAGAGCATTAGATTTAAAAAGGTCCTAGGAAGTCTCATAAGCCACCTTGAGTAGAGTCTTGTTCATGAGTGTGAAGTGAGCGACATTTATGAATAAGAGGCTATAATATGTTTAGGAAACTTCACTTCTTTCATTATTCTAAAGTTGTGCCATAGAGTTTAGATCTGTAAAGGTCCTCCTCTCCTAACCTATGTTTATTCTTTACAGAATATGCCTCTACGAAGGAATCCCATGAGAATGAATAGGAATGTTTGTGAAAATGTGAGACAAGAAGTTCCCAAGTGCCAGTCAACCCTTTGGCGAGCAAGTGACTAATGATGTGTTTCGAGCCGCATTTCATGCATTGGCCCAAGATATGATGGCTCAAGAAAATAGAGAAGTTGTAGTTCTCGTGAACCCAAGGGTGGGTACGGCGGCAACAAGGGTGAGAGACTTTACTAGAATGAATCCTCTGGAATTTCATGGGTCAAAAGTCAAGGAAGATCCTTAAGAGTTCATTGATGAGGTTTATAAGATAATAGGAATTATGGATGTCACTTCAGTAGAAAAGGTGGAATTGGCCGCTTATTAACTTAAGGGTGTTGCTCAAGTTTGATTTAACCAATGGAAGGAAGAGAGGGCGATAAATGTGTGTTTTTGATTGGGATATATTTAAGGTTGCTTTCTTTGATAGTTTCTTTCCCCTTGAGACGAGGGAGGCAAAGGCACTTGAGTTCATTAACCTTCATCAAGGGAATATGAGTGTGAAGGATTATGCTTTGAAATTCACGCAACTGTCCAAATACGCTCCAACTATAGTTGCCAATCCAAGGGCAATGATGAGTAAGTTTGTGTCGGGTGCTTCCGACTTGGTGATCAAAGAACGCCTAACCGCCATGGTTGTTAAGGAGATGGATGTATCCTGTTTAATGGTTCATGCACAACAAACAGAAGAGGAAAAACTTAAGGAGAAAACTAGGAATTCAAAGAGCGCAAGAAGGGATGATGGTGATTTCTCACATTCAGGGTCCAATGGAAGTAATCATTTTCAAAGTAATGGTTCTAGTGAGCAAATGGTATCTGAGTGTCAAAGGTGTGGAAAACTTCAAAGGGGTGAGTGTCTAGCTGGTTATAATGCATGCTTTGGTTTTGAAAAAATGGATCATAAGATAAGGAGTTGTCCTACGATTGCCAAGAATGAGGGAGCTAATCGTCGGCGGACTCAACCTTACCTTTTTTTAGGTCCTAGTGGTGGTAAAAATAGAATAGGTTTTATGCTCTTTAGACTCGACAAGATCATGAGGGTTCCCCGGATGCGGTAATTGGTAAGTTATGGTCTTTTATCTTGTTGTTGTTCATTGCTTGATATTGGGTGTTTCATTGGCTATGGTAAGACTCCATGTGTGGTAATTGTATTTGAAGTGGATATTGAAATTTTCACGGAAATTCCTTAAGTTTTAACTTGTATTAATGATTTCATGGTTGTTGAGACTTTAGTACTATGTTTGGGTTAAGGGAGATAGATTTGAAAAGACTAGAGAGATTTGCTCCCAAGGGAGAGATAGTGTGCTTCATGGTTGGAGTGTGTGTGGGACTATTTAAATTGTTGGAAGGGTTCCTTGATTTGTATTGGTATGTGAAAGACCAGAGACGGTGATGTCTTAGTATCCTTATCTCTTTCCTTTATCTTCGGGTCTAGTTGATGCATTAGCCCCTCATGTTCACTCTTTAGGATTTTTGTGTTTGATCATTCTCGTGTTTCCTCATGCATGCATGCTCATGAAAATTTGATTTTTCAAAGATATGATTTAGCTTGATTTATTGTTTCATGATTATGTGCATTGAGTATGATTTGCATGTTTGTCTTATGAAAAGATATTTTAAAAAGTATGTTTTAGCTTGGAGTCGAGGTACCTACTTGGCTATGTGCATTTTTATGAAGTTGCATTAATCTTGGGTTGTTAGTTTCTCTCTTACTCTTTTCGTGCTAGTTTGAGTTCCATTCGAGGACAAAAGTTCCCAAAGGGGATATATTGTAATACCCCAAAAATTTGAACTAGAATTATCAAGGGAGAAGGGCAAACCACAGAGGGGTCCATGGGCTGTGAGGAGGACCACGACACATCACCCTGCTCGTGATGTTGCACCCAACCACTGTAGATGACCACAGATGCCTCGACGGTCCGTGGAGCATCACACGAACTGTGAGGTGGTCCATGAAAAGAGGCAAAGAACCCCCAAGCTACTTTGAAGGACCACAATCACCTAAACGGTCTGTGGAGTTTCACATGGACCGTAAAGTCATATGTGAAAGGGGTTGATAACGTTTTAGATTTTTGGGTCAACTTTAAACGATCATATCTTTTAGCACATAATGAATTAGGTTGCCCATCACCTATTTAATTAAAGGTCTTTGAGTCCTCTTCCCAACTCCAGCAAGTTTTCCTAATTCCAAGCCCGGAGTAAAATGTTATACCCGTTTTAGTGAAGCACTTCAGACAGCTGAAGCTTCATAACCGGCAATACAGCCCTTGAAGCCTTAGACGGCTCGTGAAGCCCTTCTTCTAAGTCACCTCGTCAGTTTTAAGTTAGGGTCATGTTAGTCTTTTCTCAAAGTGTTTGGTACCTAAACTACATCATTTTAAACCCTATTTCAAGGCCTATATAAGCAAATGAAACCCTAAAACTACCAATTTCAATTCATTCTCCTAAATTCCCTAAACTTGACCAAATTCATCCTCTCCAAAATATCTTCTCTCTAGATCAAGGAAGAAGAAGAAGCTAGGGTTATTCATGTTCAAGCCTCTTTCTTCATTATTTCTTAGGGCTTCCATCAAGGTATGTATGGAGTTCATCAATCAGTTCAATTCACCCATTGATCCCCTAAAGTTTCTTCAATTCTCTAGCTTAATTTCCCAAGTTTTGATTAGATTTTAACTTAATTCCTCATGGGTTCTATTTGTATGGATTCAATTGGTTCATTATGATCTTATATTGATGACTTGGATTTAATTACATGTTTTCCAACTAATTCCATGTGAAGCCATGCATTTATCTATGAATTTTGACTATGAACCCTAATTTATATGAATTTATGAAGAAGCATAAATCTATGAATATGTTTTATGAAATTATGCATGTTTTTATGAAAGCAATGTGTATGACTCAAGTAAGCTTATAGACGGAGGTATCTATATGTTCTATGAAGCTTGGCCACATGACATGAATGACATCTAGATTTGCCTTCAATATTTTTTGGGTTATTTTACAAAATCAGGTCTTGATTAGTATGGTATACAAATATGCCATCAATGATCATAGATCATGCTTTCAAAACTATTTCCATTAGTAGTAGGGCATCTCTAGCCTGAAGTGAATGACTATGGGCCTTAAAAAGATATTATGAAAAGATTATGAATGGTGAAAGGTTTTCTTATGGTCTAAGGACCTATCCTATGATAAGACAAGTGGCGAATATCCTTGTCCCATAATGATAAGACAACAAGTGAATAGCCATGTCCCATAATGATAAGAGAAATTAAGAATAATGACTAGTCCGTTGGATTTATGCCTAACACCGATAGGATATTGAGATGGAAGCTCTCTCGTAGCTTGAGACCGGGTTTCTAGTAGTAATCTTCTTATTGCATACCTATGTGCCTCCATAGGATGATTGCCTTAGATAGATATTATCTAGTAAATCCACGTAAGCTAGAAGTTCATGGTTCTTACCTTGGCAAGTAGGACACCCCTTTTTAGTGTGGGGCAAACACTAGATTCCATGTTATAACTCCCATGGTCTATATATTGGTTTACAGTAAACTTCCCACAAAAAGAACTATGTTGATTTCTAATGTTTATGAAGCTTCCTTTATGATTTAAAGATGAATTGACCATGTTCATGTTTTATGAATCTTCTTAAATGATTTTACTATGTTTTAACTTGGTCATGTATTCCATATTTTCAAATTTTCCCATTTATGATCATGTCTCATGTTTTATTGCATTCCCCAAATACATAGTACATTTCATGTACTAACACATCCTTTTTGCGTACATTGTTTCACTAATGTAGGGTCTGACGTTCCCACTCTGCATCTTTGTGGCTAGTGATCACTTTAGTAGATTTTAAGATTGGTGAGTCCTCATGTTTTGAGGACCGAACCCTTTATTGTTTATTGTCTTTACTTTTCGGTATTGTATGTGATGCATGGGTTACGTCCAAATCACTCTTGATGTACTTGATAGCTTCGAGACTATGTTAGACTTCCGCTACATTTGGTCAAACTCTTTATGAAATAAAACTGTCTTTTGAACTCTTTAATTCAACTATCTTGTATGATGTATGCTAAGTGGCTTGAGTAGGGCCTCTCGGGGTCTTATACGCCATGTCACGTCTAGGGTATACTTTGGGTCGTGACAAATAATAGCTATCAATTAAGCATTAGTATAGTTCCATTTGAGACTCTTTATGGTAGGAGGTGTAGATCTCCTAAAGGTTGGTTTGAAGTGGGTGAAGTTGCTTTGATAGGTCCCGAATTGGTACATGAGGCTATGTAAAAAGTTCAACTTATTAGAGAATGGTTGAAAACAACTCAAAGTCGACAAAAGTCTTATGCTGATGTTATAACGAGAGATCTTGAGTTTGATGTTCATGATTGGGTTTACTTGAAAATCTCATCTATGAAGGCTGTGAGGAGGTTTGGAAAGAAACCAAAGCTGTGTCACGACCCAAAGTATACCCTAGGAGTAACATGGCATATAGAACCCCGAGAGGCCCTACACAAGCCACTTAGCATATATCATACACGATAAGAGAAAATCAAGAGAATTTAAAAGACAATTAGGAGTTTTATAAAATGAAGTAGAAGTCTAAACAATGTCTCAAAGCCATTTAGTAAAATGAGTGATCGGGAAGTAATCCATACATCAAGTTCAAAACTTAAATGTCAAGACATAATGAAAAAAGGTTTGGTCCTCGAATCAAGAGGACTCACCAATAATCAAACTTCTACTATCAGATCCCTAGCCACTGAAATGCAAATCTAGAGCGTTGGACCCTACATTTTGGGAGAATTGAGGCAAAAGTATGCATTAGTACAAAAATGTACCAAGTATGATAGCAATGCATAAAAAGATGAAATCATGCTAAAACGGGACATTTACATAATATGCAATGACCAAGTTAGAACATGAGATAAAAGATTTACAAAACATAAGTCATAAAACATGGTCAATCCAAGTTAACTTCATTAAGTCGTTTATGAGATATTTCTTGAAGTAACCTTGATTCATTAGTGTGAGAGATTTACCTTTAATCGACATGTAAGACCATGTGAGCTATTAACATGGAATACGCTGTCTACCCCACATCGAAAAGAAGTGTTCTCACTTGCCAAGGTAAGAACCATAAACTTATAGCTTACATGGATCCACTAGCTAATGTTTATCTAGAAAACCTATGGTGGCACATAGTGTATGGGACATGGGTAATTGCCACTTGTCCACTCGGTGCTAAGCATAACTCCCACATAATATTCATTATTCTTAACTTTTCTTAACATTCATGAGACATGTGTAATCACCTCTCTTTGCATTAGAGGGCATGGGTAATCGCCCACTTGCCTCATCATTAGAATAGCTCCTTAACTTTGATTCATTTTAGGTTAGAAGACCTTTCAACCTTAGAATCCTTTATGTGAGAAACCCTTTAACATTCATGTGTTGAGTACTTATGTGAGAAATCCTTTCACACTCATCAAACAACAACAACATCATTTATACTTTACTCTCAATGCAACTTATATCATATTTCATCAATTTCATAAGAACATGCATATTTCCATCATCTACCTTTCATAGTTCAAAACCCACTTTTATTCATGAAGATCTTAGAAAACATGGGTTACGCATGGGTTCATGGGGAATCATCTTAAAATCATGAAATTATATCAATTCATGCATAATATATCATAAAACAAACAAATAATTTAATATTGAAAGGAACCCATGACATAGAAGAAAACTCTAAGTTCAATTGGAGATTTCTAGCTTCAAAATTGGGGAACTTAGGAACTCAATGGAGGAAAGGCTCCATAGATGAAGACTATCATACCTCATGCCAAAAGCTTGATTTTAGTGGAGGAATTGGAGACTTGACTTGAAACCCTAACCTTCTTCTTCAACCTTCTAGTGAGAGAAATATTTGAGAGGATAACTTGTTCTTTTTTTTAGAATTTGAGAGAGTGAATTGCTTTGGAAGACTCTGGGGTTACAAACATTTATATAAGGCTTTGGGTTAAGGGTAAAATCACATGGTATT